TAACTAAAGCTAAATTGATCTCGCTCCACTTGTTCTGACCTGGGGGTGTAAGTACTACTTTCCTTCTCTCTACTCTCATCCCCATCTTTGAGGCAGCCCATGATGTAGCAGCTGGGGACCGTGTTGTTTAAAAGACAGGGCAAATGGGAGGCTGCTGCTGTTTGGATCTTTCCCGGTAGTATTAAAGCTCTGAGTGAGATTTTGGGAGCTGGGGAGGAGTCGTCGTTCCTCCACTGCCATCTCCCCAGCCATTCTCATCCCTGGGTGAGGGAGCCATGGTGGCAAAGCAGTGCTGAGGCCTCCTCTGCTCCCGTGTCCCAGCAGGACAGGGCTTCACTGAGCAGCTGCCTGTGCGCCCAGAAACAAGCAGCTTGGCTCAGCTGCAGAACTTTATCTGTTGGGGGCATGTATCTATCCCATGGCTGGACCAGAGGTTGTGCTTGTTTTAGTGATTTAGGAAGTCACTGAGGGGCAGAGGGGACACCGTACTGCTGTGATGTTTGCCCTCTTGAGGACTCTTGTTATCTCTCTTCAGAGCAGGAAAGGGCATGGGGTGGGAGGTGTGTGGTGGAGGGCGAGTGCTCCCCTCGCGCCCTGTTGTGTCTCATACTGCTTGGGGAGGGTCTGTCCCACATCAGGTGTCCGTATATGTCACCACATGCGCTATCGTGTCGTCTCTGAGCCACCTTCTGTTATCTTGCAGTACAGCTCTAGTCAGCACCTTGTATGTAAGGATGGTTTGTCAGTATTTCTCAGAGGATGTCACATATGTGTCCCAAGCTTGCCCCCTCTGCTGTGCCAAGCTCTGCCCTGTTTCCCTCTTTTCCCAGGTTTACGTCTGGAAGTGGATTTCTTTACAGTGGAAGGACAATACTAGCAGAGCTAGGCTGAGCAGATGTTTCAGCTGGGGTAGGGTGGGAGTGAACGTGCTCTCACACTACGGTAAGGAGAGAAGTGGGCTGTAGGGTGTAAACAAAGCACTTTTACAGCAGGCTTCTGTATTGCATCAAAAGTTCCTGGAAAGGTGAAGGTGGGAGCTGGCTTTCACAGCCTCTCACTGAAAGAATAAAAAAGCTTGAATGTGTACAGGTCCGGCCCCCTTAGTGGGACTGTCCCACACTCTTCAACTCCTTTGTCCCCGCTTAGCTGGAGACTGCTCAGGTGAAGTCCTGATCCTGTCTGAGGCATTGGTGCTTACTGGGGTCACCAGGCCCTGTTGTGGCCTTCTAGATAAAGGCACATAGAGGTCCTGCTATAGCTGGGCTAGGTGGGCGACTGGAAGGTGGGGAGTATAAGGACCACGGAGCAGAGCCAGCGTAGAAGGATGGGTGGTCTGGCAGTATCGCTGGAGCAGCCTGTTGTGCTGCTGCTGCAGGAGAGGCCTGTCAGAAGAAGCTTTTAGGTGGTATTCTAATTAGTGTTTTCCTTATTCTTACTTGGATATGTATTCCTATATCACTGTTGGTAACTGTGGCAGCTCTCTGGCCACAAGACACAGGTCTGGTACACGTCTCTCTTGACATTCACTTCTACAATGTGATTATGTAGCTTTTCTTCTGCAAGAACTTTGTGCTCAGGACAGAGGAGGGATCTGCTCAGATGTTCAAGGCCGTCCGTCTGTCTTCAGCTGTTTGTCTAGTTGTCTTCACCTTAGCATCAACATGCTCATTGGTGTTTGTTCATTTATTTCTCCCAGTGCCACCTGATCATGCAGAGGCTCTGGGACAGCAAAAGGCAACTTCCTGATTTCAGTGCAAACAGCTCACCAGTTCATCACCCACAAATTTCAAGTTTCTGCTTTGCTGCTCAGTGCAGCAGGTTATTTTTAAGCACTGGAAGAAAAAAAAAACCTGGTTTTAAGCCCATTGAAACACTTTCAAGGCATTATTTTCTATTTTGTGATACCACCTCTTATCTTTTCTTAGAATGCTTTCGAAATACTTCTGGGATTCACAATACCATATAGATGCCTTAAAAACAGCCAAATTGTCCTGCATCAGGATAATCAAGCTTTTGTCTCTAAATTTGTGTATGGAATTTAGTATCTGCTAATGGGTCTTCAGCTATTAATTGGTCTGATCTTTTCTGAAGCCAAACACAATCTGTTGGAGAAACTATAAAAATGCCAGCCCTGGCCTGCTGGTTCTGCTCCCTTGCCGGTTGGAAACCTGCTCACGCTGCAGAAAGCTGTTCTGTGCAAAACCAAAACAGGGTCTGTTGATGTTATTTCTACTCCTTTGAGAAGATGACTTACTGGTCACATGTGCTGCTATGAGGTCATTAGGAAGTCTCTCAAATACACAATTTGAGAACCGATGATGCTATTGCAGAAGTATGCTCCCTCTGCGATGTGAGATGCAAAACTCTGAAGTACTTTAGTTTGTAATAGCTCTGAGTGGGATCTGTTATTGTGCATATTTGGGCTCATTCCAGTGAAAAAAAGGACTGTTTTCTGCCTTGCTTTATCCCTAGATTGATTAGTGAATGTATACCGTGGGATCAAGTTACATTTCAGAGGGCATGCAGCAGAGAGCCTATTTCTGTGTTGAAGTGCTGAAGGCAACAGTGAGTCTAACTGCAAGATCAGCAGTTTTCTAGCAGTGCTTTGTGCCTCCACGGCACCATCCTTCCCCAGGGAAAGGAGCTCCTCAAATCCATTTGCAAGTTGGGCCATTGCTCTTCCCTGTGCCGTGGGGGAATGGGAAGCTTTCCCTAGACCCTTCTGTGACATTGTGTCACTATTGCTTCTGTGACATGTATGTGCTTTGATGCTTTTATTGATGTCCCTCCTGGACTCCCTGTTCCTGGGTGTCCAGAGGTACCTTCTGCCACAAACTGCCCTGTGTCCTCCAAAGGGAATCCTTTTGATCCCAGCTTACCCCAGAGGCCTGTGATCCAGCTTGGTCCCCATGCATCACTATGTTGACAGGGCAGGCATCCTTATTTTGGCAGGGGAGTGCCTTGTAAGTGTGTTAGCTGAATCAGTACCACTTTCTTGGGAGTAGGGCTTCCCAAGCAGAGAGAGGTCTCCTGTCTTTCCACCTCCACCCTACTGCTGGTCATGTGTTTCTGTCCCAAACCGTATATGAGCCTTAGGGATTGTCCCATCCCTCTGAGCTGATTAACACGCTCAAACATGGAAAAATTACCCAAAGGGGGGAGAAAAGTAAATAGTTTCTGTTCTTGGTACAGAGGTGGATTGTGTGGCTGAGATGGGGTAAGGAGGCAGGGAGGAAGATGGGAGCAAGGTGGCATCTGACTGCACGTATGACCATGTCTTACAGCTCACAGCTGGGGCTTAGTGTGGGCACAGTGTGGTTCATGTCTGCTTCCTTTTTTTCTTTTGAATACCCAAAATACCTGCTGCTTCTGTTGACGCTTTGCTGTGATTCCTGCTTGAGGCTTGGTGTGACATATGGGAGTCTGAAGAATGGGCTGAATTGCTGCCGTCTCAGCCTCCTGCTGTGGAGTCCCTGTGAGTGTTAATCCTGTACAACACCGGCATCTGCTTCCCACCCCGGCACTGCTGTCGCTCCCCTGTCAGGGTGTCTGAACAGGACATCGCAGCCTGTCCCTTGTTGAGCAGCTTCCTTGCAGGAGGCAGGCCAGCACCTGCGTTTCCCAACGGGCAAGTCAGCAAAGTACTTTTTCTCTTCAGTCTCCCTTTGCTGTCGTGGTCCCTGCTGCTGGTCCCCTAACTGGGTCCTTATACCAGTGACTGCAGGTGACGTTCCTCTCAAATCCCAGTGGCCTTGTCACCCAGGTGAGCATGGCCCCAGCCTGTTGCAGGCTGCCACACTCCAGGGCTCTCCAACGGCCACAGCAGTAGCTTTGCAGCAGAGCCCGGCTGTGAGCAGGGGTGGCAGCCGGTGCTGGAGGTGGAAGGGCTTTGCAGCCGAAGAGCAGTTTTGCAGCCCTGTGGCAGTGCCCTGCGGTGGTGCCTTACTGGCATGTGTGGGTGGTCTCCCCAGGGTGCCCACAGCCTGCTGGCCCCCGTGGCCACGTCAGTGGCTCCTGTGGCTCCATCTGCTGCGGTCCTGCTTGTCCTGCCACCATGGAGCCTTGGCAATATCACCTGCCTGTGAGGTTCCCACTGTCACCTTTGGTAATTATCTCCCCCCCCAGGTGCCACATTCTGGTATTGAGTTTTGTATTTTCCCTCTATTTCTATATTTTTAAGTGAAAAGGAAATGGATGTGATGTCGCACAGCTGTCTGACAGCTGCAGTAGTGAACTTCACTCCTGTGGGACCCCAACCCAAGGAAGGCAAACAGGGGCTAGCTGCGCAATAAACATGCGTTGAGCCCCAGTGTCACTGCTCGTCTCTCCCTCACCCAGGAAAGACTTTGGAAGTCCAAACAACTGAGAAGTGCCCTGCACTGCTCTTCAGTTGCAATAATCCTGTTGGCTGGTATTGCTTAATAAATGGCTAGTTCTGTCTTTGCTTTTTACCTTTCCCCCATGGACGACAGAGGCTGGTGAAGAATGAACACGAGGAGCATGGTGTGGTGATGCCCTTGACGGGATTTTTCCCGCGAGCACAGGCAGCCATGTTAAACCAGAAGGTGCAAGCTGGCTCTGCGGTGCTGTGCCGGGGCCTGGCTTGCTCCTGGGACTACACGGGCCCTGCTTCCTGAGCAGGAGAGCTGCTTTATGTTGTGGTTTTACTAAATGAATTCAAAGCTTGGCCTTCCTCCAGGCGAAGTCTGGGCCAAGTGCCAGCGGAGCAGCCCCTAGGGAGAGCACTGGAGCAAGGAGGGGCCAA